TCCAGAGCCAGACGTCCCCTGTCTGTTGTAGCAAAGACGCATAGTTCTATGCCTTAATCGCCCTAGCTGGGTACACAACTAGGGACAACCCTTAAGAGGAGAGGCCACTGTGGTTATTCAAATGAGCCTCACCTACACGCCCCCAGCTTTGCATTTTCTTTCCTGTGGAGACCCCAGTGAAGGTCTCACCTAGTGCTTCCCCAGCTCCTACCTTCTGCCATATGACCCGAGCCTTGTGACTCCCTTGTGGCTCTGTGTGGCATGTGGCCTTCCCTCTCTGTACCTGGTTAGTATAATAAGCTCGTTTTTCTCTGTCTCTTGCTGTGCTCGTATCCACTGGCCATCACACAAAGAAACACAGAACAGCCTCATCTAGTATCTACCCTGCTTTGCCTCATCCTTTCAGATTGTTGATTTTTGGGGGGTCTACATGACTTTTGATTCAGATTCTTTGCAAAATAATGTCTTCTGCTTCCCCTCTGGGTCATATGTGGAATCCATGATCTGTCTCATAATTATCCTAGGTTTCTAGGTACTGCACTCCAAATTTGGCCTAACACTTCCCACCCTTAGAAGTAGAAAATGAAAAAATCACATGTTCTTTTAACCCCCTGCCCCAGCACTTGGGCTTTGCTAGAAACTCACTTGGCCCTAATTCACTGGTGGGTATCACACCCCCATGATCCAATCAGTGCTCGAAAGCCCCACCTATGACTACATGAGGCTCTGGGGAAACATCTGGATATAAACCATAACAAGAAGTTTAGCATCAAACATACTGAGTTAGAAATGATAGCAATTCACCTAAGTGCCAGTAGAGACTAAAATAAATAGACAACAAGCCAGGGCTGATGAAAGATGTAGACAAAAGGTGTTCATTAACCACTCTATGTGGTTGTGAAGAGAAAGTGAGGGGACAGTTGAGAGAGGAGTCTGTCCTCTTAATTCATACTGCTACCGTATTTCCCCCAAAATAAGCCCTAGCATGACTTAGGGTCTACAAGGGAAAATATTTAATACACCTAAGTATTTGACCCATTCATATTTACCCTAAAAATTCACAATTTCAAGAGCTTGTCTGTGGTCTGTTCCCTACCATTCTTTCACTTATTGGGAATTTATGAAAGAAAAAGTGCATTTTTCTAGATTCCTTTATATTATTTCCATATATATGTATATATATGTATATTTCCATATATATTTCCATACACACACATATATATATGGTTGTTATTGTTGTTATCATCTCTTCATGACTGGGAATTTCTGTTCGAGTGCAGTGGGAGGGAAGTTCACTAAGAAGCACACAAGTCCATTTTAGGTTGAAATTCCTAATGACTTTCTCACCTTAAAAGGAAATGATGTCTAATTACTGGCCTTTCATCAAGTTAACTTGCAAAATGCTCGAGCTAACCACAGTAAGGGTATTGTTAACATCACAATTTGTTTGGAATTAGGCTGTGGGAAAGAGGAGTTTCTATGGAAAGTTAAGCCAAGTTAAACAAAGAAGGGAAAAAATACTGTTATTCCCCTTACTGCAAGTCTGGGTTAAAGGGTTGATTATGTGGGAAAATGCCAGCGGGTCAGATATACAAAACTCATGGAATTTGGCCTCTTGACAAATACCTAAATATAACTTATGGTTTTAAGTACTTTTTCATATTTTGTTCCACTAATTTGGGAATTCTGATATAGATTGTTATTAAAACCACAGGAAGTTTTTCTTTCCTACAAATGGCTTAGATATTTACAAAGTACACTAAAAATTAATAGTATAATATATACTCTTACATAGATATTTATATGGTTTTATAGATACACTATATTTTTTCATTGAAATGGATCCATGATTATACATTATTAGGCAATTAACTTAGAATGGAGTCACTTAATAATGTCAGTTATTGAAACCAAACAATGAATAACTGTTCCAATGTGAATCAAGGATCAATTTGTCAATGTACCTCTGCTGTTATTAATGGACACTTGCAGTCTTCTGAGGTAAATGCTATGCTGTGTTGCCCTATTTTAGGACAAGTCTGGCTCAATATATGCACTCTCCTATGTAGCTCTATATTTATCAATATAAACGTTGTAGGTACATTTGTCTAGTAGATGTGTCATGGGTATTGATCATCTTATTGAAAAACAACATTGCCTCTTTTCCCAGAATCATAGGGCTGCTGTTTTTTTGTTTCTTGGGTTCTTTTTGGTACAAGGAACGGAATTCAGGACCTTGCTCCTGCCAGGCAGGTGCTGTGCCACTGAGTGATATCCCCAACCCCAGGGCTACTGTTTTCATATTCTTTTGATTGTAATTTTTAGAGTTGAACAAAATCCCTTAAACTCATTTGAAACACAAAATAATTTCACTTTCCTTTTCTTTTTCCCAACCTAATGCCTTATGGCTACTCTGATTTAAATCTGTTCTGAGTAATTGTTCTTTCTACTGCAAGCTAATACTTTTCCTCATCATCCATTCACCATAGTTGAGAAAGTATGGCATGTTTCTGAAAGCACTGGAGACTTTTCTCCTTTTGAAACAAGGACTGCCATTGTTTGTCCTCTCACACTGCCATAGTTCTGTCTACATTTCCTCCCAAAAGCCTCAATTGGTGATAGATGGGGCTTTATGGAGGTGGCTGGATCTAAGGTGTGTGATTCTGGGATTAATCGTGTGTGGTACTAAATCAGTCTACTGATTGGGTTAGCATAGTTCTAAGAGTAGATAGTGGAAGGGCCCACCCCAGGTGTGGATGGCTCCACCAAAAAGGCTTGGAGCCTGGATGTGATGAAGCGAAAGAGAAGCTTGCTGCTGCTACTTGCTGCCTCCCTTTAGTGATTTCTGCCTGCTCTGTCATGGACTGTTTCTCCCCCGCCATGTCACCGTGCCTTGCAGCCAGCTCACTATGGACTGAATCTTCTACAAACCGTGAGCCAAATAAGCCCCTCCTGCTTTAACTTTGGGTGCAGGGTATTTTGTCTCAGCAGTACAAAAAGAAACCAAGACAAACATCAAGCAAATGCCCATGGTTGTGGAGTTTCAAGACCGAGATCTAGTTCTACAATCTAGTGGGGATGAAGAGACCACACACTATTTCTTTAGAAATCTTATTTTAATATACTTGATTGCTCTAGAAAAGGTACAAAATGTATTTTGCATTATGTGTTAGTCTCACTAAAGGCAGTTTCACAATTGACTCATTGGCTGTGGTATAAATAAACATGTTTCTTAGATAAGACTAACAATAAGTTAGAAGAAATTTAGGACAAAATTTTATTGGGTGGAAAGAATTCAGGAGCACTAATCTCTATAGTTAACTCTCTGGCATGAGTTCTTCTGTTATCAAACAGAAAACAAGAGAAGTTGCAGGTATTTTCATTCCAAAGGTAGGTTGCTGAAAATTCTGGCACCTCGGAGACTCACAAAAGAATAAGAAAGGTAATTTCTTTTGTGCTGATTTTGAATAATTCATTTATATGCATTCGATCCATAAGAGTTTTTGAAGGCAGTTTACAATTTGATGCAAGATTTCACTCTAAACCATTTATAGTTTCTAATATTGTTTTCTTTAGGAAACACCCTGGGAAAAGTGAAGTTACACAAAGTGTCATCCTCTCTAAATACATTTACTTTAAAATTTCTGTATGTATAGCATAGAACATTAAAAGAATGATTCATTCAAATCATCTTAGAACATTCGAATTCATCGAAGAACATTCGAATGATGCATGCATTTCTGGCGAATCACAGTGAAAAGAGGGAAATAAAAGGGAAAGAAGGAAACGGAAAGTGAAAAAGATGGAGAAGATGGAGCATGACAAGAGTAGGAAAAGAATAACCCTAAGACGTCAGTGAGAGGAACAGGAGGAAAGGAATTCTTACTGAGAAGAGGAAGAAAGATGACAGCAACAGAAAACTGAGAAGGGATGCTGTCACTAGGTCTAGAATGTGCTCCAAGGCTGTGCACCAAAGGCTTCACTCCTACCACTGCTGAGCGGAGGGAGTAGAATTTCAAGTGTTGGACCTTGTAGAAGTTCTGCATCCGAGCTTCTACACCCTCTGACGGACTGTGGGAAACCCGTCCTCTCTTTTCTTGATCCTGGCTGCATGAGATGAATGCTTCTCTCTGCCATGCATTCTTCTTTAGTGCATATTTGCAGAATGTGAAGTTTATATTCATCTTGGGGAGTGGCCACATATATATAATACAGCTTCCCCTTCCCATTTTCATTCTTGTGAGTATTCTTAGCTCATGCTTATGACATATATTGTTTATCTCCATTAAGGGTATTAGGTTCTGTGCATGGCAGGTCTTCATTCTTCTCGCTTCTCCTTTACCTTCCCCTTCTCTCTCCCCTCACTCTCAGTCTCCTGAACCCCTGCCTATTAGCAAAAGGTCCATCCCCTTATTTCCTTCCATCTATCCTTTATTACTCTCTTTGTTTGTAGATTGCTTCACTCAAATGAGAAATATCATACAGTATTTCAGCTTGTGTGTCTGATTTATTTCACCCAACATTATATTTCACCCATTATATTATATGATAAGCTGTCCAGAAGCTTTTTAATTTGATGTAATCTGATTTGTTGATGCTTGCTGTTATTTCTTGTGTAATTGCAGTTTTGTTTAGAAAATCCTTTCCTACAGCTATCGTTCAGGTGAAAGATATGGGCTCATCTTCAATCTTGTGTAAACAGATGTCTAGCTTTCCCAGAACCATTTGTTGACTAGGTTTTCTTTGGCAGCACGCCCTTGGGCGCTTTGTCAAATATCAACTAGCTGATTGTGTCTGGGGTGCTGCATCTTCCTTTCCATTTCACCGATCCCTGTGTTTGCATTTGTGCCCACTCCATGCTGTTTTTATCACTGCTGATTTTCTACCATGTGCTGTCCCCACCCTGCACTGCCTCACCACAGGCTCAAGGAGATGGGGTCAATCAATGAAATGTCTTGAAGTGTGACACGTTTCCTCTTTTTCAATTGATATCTCTCCAGTGTCTGGTACGGAACAGAATGCTGACTAACACAATCAAGAAAAGGAGCAAAGAAAATGAAAGAAAAGGAGCCAGAGATTAGGAAGGCCACAGCTCCTTGTCAGTAGATGGTCTGCCGTGTAAGTTTTTGCAGAACATTGAACTTGTCCTTTTCTCACTGGGGATGGTGTCAGTCTTTGTGACTAAAAAAGACAGAGAGAGAAAAGATTAGGAGCTTAGCATGATTTGAATGTTGGTTTCCTCGAAAAATTCAGATTCAATGTTAGTGGCCATTTAATAGAATTAAGATGCAGGGTTTTTTGAGAAGTCTGTAGGTCATGAGGGCTGTATCCTAATGAGTGAGATAATGCCATTTTAAAAGGATAAATTCTCTTTTTATTTTTCTCTCTCCTGGATTTTAATATTATGAATATTAGCCTAAGCTCCAGTAAAATCAGAGTCAAAGTGAAGCTAGCTGCATTTTCTTCTCATGAATATTGGGTTAGGCTGATATTCATAATTACCTTTAAGTAGTTATCAATAAACAAGTTAAAAGTTACCAAATATTTATAATTTCTTTCCTATGGCAAGCTAGAATATTGCAAAGTGCATAATAATACCTCTCAAAATTTAGGGGATCATTCTTATGAGAATCCAAATCTTCAGTATCAACAAGCTTCATTTCTTCCTGTGTGAAGGACTTGTTCTTTGTCAGTTTTAGTTGAAAAATGAAAAGCATTGTCATACCCTGGCATAGGGCATAATAGTAGTACTTTACCTATGACTGACAACATTGGAAAAAAGTGAGGTTCTGGTCTGATTTACCTCTGAACATTAACACAAAGTTTCTCACACTAATTAGTTCTTACCAGGAAAAAGAGAAATAATGACATTAAATTTTAGTCATCATAAACGGTTTTTCTTCCTTAACACATCTTAAATAATTATAACATGTATATTCATAAGGAAGGAAACCAGGAGCTGGCTTATTAGAATAGCTATAGAAGTCATTATGTCCCCAAACCCCAATTCCTGAGAGACACTGAAGACTGACCCTTAACACTGAGACTTAAGCTATGCTTAAGTAAGCAGAGCTGTTCAGCTAGATTCTGTGGACAACTCCTATTATAAGTTCAGCTCCACTGATGTCTCCCAAAATGAATGGTGTTTACTTATCCAGCTTTCCAAATCTTCTAAAGGTCATTTTCCTTCAGATCATTTGACTAATAATTTTAATTTGCTTCCTTGCCCTTCCAAGCAATATTCATTTGCATAAAACTACTTGTAGCATTATTGTCCTTTCCTGCACATACTTAAAGGCACAGGAAAATCACATGAAAACTCACTGTGCCTTCCAACTGATAATGTCAACTTTTTCACCTCCAGCCTTTAGTGTTTATTGTGAGGCAGACTGTGCAAAGGACGTGACACATTTCTTTCGTGGTAGGCATTCAAGTCCAAATATGAAATACAGATTCTGGTAAACACTTAAGATCATGCGTATTCTATACTCATAGTTATTCTAAACAGTATGAATTCTCATTCATTTTATAAATAAAGAAACTGATTATGAAGGAGGCTAAATGACTTAAAGTTACAGCATCCAAAATTGTTCCCAAGTTTTACATTAGGTCATCAAATTTTACATGGAGTTACTAAAAATTTAGACATATTAATAACCAAGAATACAGTATATGTTTGTACATTCTTTTAGTTATTGCTAAATTTCCAAATTTGAAGCACATTAACATTAAAAGCTCAGTATTTTATTTAACATGTCACTTACTTTATTAAAATAACAATCAAAAACTATGATCAAAGTCATTTTTTATCAGAAGTCTTATCTCCAAGAATCAAAATGCCCAATGATAAAAACAGAGAAGATGAGAAGATTCAGGACCAGAACTTAAGGATGCTTATGTGATTAATAATATTTTAGATTGGTATTCTCAGAAGTGCTATTTAGAATTTATTTTATCATCTATTCATATGTTCTAACTACATATTAATATAAGGTTCAATGAAAGTATATATGCTGACTGCCTTATCTAAAACATCAAAATCAGAAAGAGAGGGTAAACCTTGTTATATAATACTCCTTTTTTGACAGTTGGGACCAAGTGTTGTAGTCAGGATTTACAAGGGAGAAGATTTAATATAGGACACATAGTTCTGGGATTATTTTATAATATTCACACAAACAGTCAAAAGCAAAACAGTGCAGGAGACATGTCGATGCACTAGTGACCCAAAAAACCCAGCTGAGAGCCTGGATCCCACAGCAATGTCCTGTATGAGTCCAGCTGGAGGCCTAGAGCCCATGGCAGTGTCTCATGCAAGTCTGTACCAAGGATCTGAACTGGGAAGGCCTAAGGGTCAGTGACGGAAGCTAGAAAGTCTGCACCAGCAGGATGAAGGATCTGCGCCAGCAGGCTGAGGGATCTCACTGGAGCCTTGAAGCAATGCTCAAGGTAAGGGCCACAGCTCCCCTCAAAAGAACTGCATCCATCCTCAGTGACAGCATGGATCCAAGCTCCTCCAATGATGAGAACAGCTGAGTTCATATTAGGAGAACTACCGTGAAAAGCTCCTCCAGGGGAATTAACAGGACACCATCTTCCCCTTCGATTCTCTTCTTTATGCTGTTGGCAACAGTCCCCCAGTGGGCCATCCACACCCAGTAACATGTTGATTCAGCTCAGCTTGGTGTTACAAGTTGAACTTGAGTTGATCCATCACGGTCCACCCTTGGTCAATTTGATAATCAGACACATTTCCTTAAACCACAGTCTCTAGTGGTAGATTTGTGAGAAGTTAACATGTCTTGGTCTATTCAGATTTACGTTAATATAACAACTACATGTATGTGATTCTCATTGCATTCAATTGTGCACCAAAAGCAAAACATTCAAAAGGTAATTAGAATTCAAGGTTAAAATCGTAATACTTTGACTAATTAACCTGATTCAAACATATATTTAAAAGCAACATTAAAATCATATTAGGAAAGCTATTATAATCACAATCCTTGCTTCCCATAACTTTTACAAACAGGGCATGGTAGTACTAGCAAATGCCCCAAGGGATCTCCTGAATTTCAAAACCTCTCTTCCCTTCTGGTGAAAGGTTTCAGGTCATTCTTTATTGTTCTGTTTCTTCTCTACAACTATGCTCTCCTCTGTTTCACCCTTAAAATCCACAGCTCCACTGGAGCCTTCTCTCTTGCCAAATGCTTCAAATCCCCCTGGTGGCTCTCCACACTTAATTTCCAACATAGATCTGGTCAAAAGCTCTTCACAGTAATTATGCCACTGTACCAACAATATACTGTATTGAAACTTTTCTGCCACTTAGGCAACATTTCTAAATACAAGCAAAATACAGAGCAACTTCCTGCCAAAGCACATGTACCATCTAGGATCTAGCAATCTGTGCAGTACTCCTCAGTAGAAGCCTCCTGAAACTGAACCAGCAGCACTTCCATCAGTACTCTAATTTTCCAGGCTCTGACAAGAGTCTCCAGTAGAGTTTACAGCATATGAAGGCTGCCTCTTCAGCAAGTCTCTCAAAACCTTTCCAAATTAATTCCCAAGTCTCTTAAACCACATGGCCAAGCAGTGTCACAGCAGTAACCCCACTTCTGGTACCCCTTTTGTTGTAGTCAATGTTTACAAGGTAAAATGATTCAATATAGGACACATAATTTATAGGATTATTTTATGATATCACTCTAAGAGTCAAATGTAAAAGAGTGCAGAGATCTGTCCACACACTAGAGACCCAAAGAATCCATTTGAGGACCTGGATCCCACAGCAATGTCTTGCATTAAACCAGCTGAAGACCTAAAACCCAACTGAACATGTGGCAATGTCCTCCATGAGTCCAGCTGGAGGTCTACACTCCACAACAATGTCTCATGCAAGTCTGTACCAAGGTTCTGCACTGGGAAGGCCCAGTAGTGGGAGCTAGGAAGTCTACACCAGCGGGATGAAGGATCTGTGCCAGCAGGCTGAGGGATCTCACAGGAGCCAGGAAGCAATGCTCAAGGTATGGACCAGAGCTCCCCTGAAAACAACTGCAGCCATCCTCAGTGACAGCAAGGACCCACTCCTCCAACGATGAGAACAGCTGAGTTCATATCAGGAAAACCAGCATGATAAGCTCCTCCAGGAGAATCAGCAGCACACCATCTTCCCCTTCAATTCTCTTTTCTTATGCTGTTGGCAACAATCCTCAGGAGGGCCTTCCACACCCGGCACCCACTGATTCAGTTCAGCTGGGTGTTACAAACTGACCATTAGTTAATCCACCACAACAAGTCATGATAAAAAGATATTTCCTCATATAAACAATTTCCGTTCACAAAATCTGTTTCCTATGTCTTTTGATATGGAGAGCTTGGAACAGGAGATCCAGGTTTTTGAAAGGAAGAAGACAAACTGTACTGCGAGTAGGAAGCTCTGTAGAATCATCCCACTATTTGGTCATCTTTTGGGATTGCACCTAGAATAATTATTTCTACTTTACACATGTGCCTTCACTGCATGTAAAGTGGAATGTAAGCAGAATTTGTTGATTCTGACTCTTCAAAAACACACCTTTCTTGCTATCATAGGTAGCTATGATTGGATAGTAATAACTAGAGCAGTTGTGGGTCTTAGATGGCGTGATCATTTTGTTGGAACATGTTCCCACCTGATTTTCCAATCAAATCACTGAACTTTTATCTCAGCCATTGGAATGCATACTATACCAGACTGGATGAATAAGGTTTCTAGATTTAATTTTATCAACAAGAGGACAGAATTCACAGAATTTTTAAGATGTCCATTGATGGTTTATAGTTAACACCTTTAAAAATAACCAAGTAGATTGATTCTTCATACTTTAGTTTCTGTATTTCAACTATACAATAGGACATTTTGTATATTTGTGTTTAAAAATAATAAAACAAGTTTCTACTGTACCTTAGATTATCTATATTTACATCTGGGAAATAAAAAACTTTCCAGGTGCTAGAATATAGCAGTAACATTATGGGGGGAGAGTGGCTTCATGGAGCTTAAATGACATTGGGCTTATAGAAAAGAAATGAAAGAAATTAATAAATATAGAAGATAGTAGATCGTACTAGTGCTC